CTCGCTCCCTCCCTCCCTCGCTCCCTCCCTCTCCCTCCCTCTTTGATTAGGATCAGGCATCAGCATGACTTGGGAGTGTTGTCGGGTCATTAGACTGATATTGAGCCAGCTCGACGACCTGTTGCTGTTGCGTAGGACAACGCTTCGTTGATACTTTGACCAGGCAGGCGATGCCGCAGAGCAATGCATGTTGCTCGCGGCCTAGCATGGCTGCCAAGCTCCCCTGCAACTTCGTTTCGCAGTTTTGTGAGTCGTGCACACATACGACCAGGCAGCACCATATTCCAAATGAGTTCCTGTGTGGTCATCCAGCTTGCAACCGAAAGTTATGAGGCCTTCAAACCCTTTCGCCGCAGCTGGCGGCTTCCCAACCGGTGCCTCACCGACTTGCAGCCCTTTTGCGGACTCAGCTTCGGGGGTCTCAATAGCTTGGAATTGCAGTGCCACCTCTGGGACTAGGACGAACAGTTTGCAGACATTTGCAGACTCATTAAACTGCCCTGAGCGAAATTGGGGGCTCCCCAGGTGCGGTCGCTGCCAATGCCGGTCTACCAGGCACTCCACCCTGGCCGACTTGCCGGCATATCGCCAACCTCACAGGCCTTCAGCCCAACCTCATCCTGACCCTGAAAGCGCTTAGTTGCAGTGAGAACAGCTTTGAGGCCAGGTGCGATGCACAGCAGACCCCCATACGTCCTGTCCGCAAAAATATGCCTGCGAGTGTCTAGAGTCTATTGTTTTGTTTGGGAGACTGCTTTCCTAGTCGGGTAGTGATTGCAGCCCTGCGCAGACGTTCCAGTCGGACGGCCGAGTTCGCGTGCCGGCACCTCCGTCGGCCCCCTGGAGCCTTCAGAACTTGGAGCCTGAGACCTCACCGCTTCTGCTTGTCCTCACATGCTCGCCAGCTTGTCCGTAGAACCGAAGCCAAAGTGCTTCTTGGAACTTTAGCTGCAGCCAAGCAAAGCTGGAACTCCGCGACGAACCAGCCCCAGCCCCGTATAACTCACTAAATTCCTGCACCAAAACGCGCATCGGGGCAGCCTTGGCGACCTAAAGCAACAATGGCCCTAGCGTTTGCTGCACCCCAAAGTGCCGCGGCAGTGCTGCCGCGCCGGGTGGCGCCAGGTCCCAAAGTTGCAGGTGTGGGCCCAAGAGTTTTTGCCACCTGGTGCTTTGGAAGCCGGTCCATCCGGTCTTGGCCTCCCTAGGCCAGGGCTCCTCGGCTTGCTCCTACACGGCGAGGGCTCGGGCAGCTCTGGCCTTGGCTGCGCTGCCCGCGCTGCCACGAGGACGTGCCCGGCGCTGCGTCCCAGAAGGCCGTGGCACAGCTATCCGGCACTTGTTTTTGTGCTTGATGTCGTATTGTTCCATTGAGGAGCACGACTCTTCCTTTGACACTCCTTAGCCTTAGCCACAACTTAGCGTGAAGTGAAGTGTACGTGTAGCAGTGTAGCACATGGAAGATCAAAGACTGGTGTAGCGCAACTCTTTGTTGGAGTCTTCCGGTGCCACCGGCTGGCGAGCGCAAGCCTAACGCAGAAGATCAGCAAAACAGCCGTTTAAACGACCCTGACAGCGGCAACAGTGCTTTCATCACGTTTCAGTGTTTACAGTTTTGTCCAGCTGCGTAGGCTTTCCGACTTTAGCCTCTTCGGAAGTCGGCACACAACCCTGGAACTGGTGGGGCGATTGCAGCGCCGAGGACAGCCATCAGTGTGCAAGCAGCAAAATCAAAATTCCAGCCGACAGAGACCTCGGTCGACTGTTTAGTTGCAGGAATGGCCGCAGCTTCTCGAGAAACTGATGGCAGAAGCCAGGGTCCTGCTGAAGGACCCATGGCCCATGTTGCTCAGAGTATCAGCGTACCAGTATAATGGCAAACTTCACGCGGCAAAATCAGATTTCCACGAGCTGACAGGACTTCTTCGGGCATGATGCTTTCCGACCACAGCAGGACAGGCTTGTTCGACGCATTGCGAGGCTCGTCAGCTTCTCTCCGTAAACTGAGTTGCTAGGAAGAGGCGCTGCGAGCGGCAATCAGCCAGAAGGCACACGCGTGTGCCAGCAGTGTGCTGCCAGTTCACTGTCGATTCATCCTAACGTTTCTTTCCGGCAACCTATGCAACCTCTTCCGTGCACACAGGACATTGAGCTCTACTGGCCAACGGCGGCTGGGAAGTCCTTGGTTTTTCAGCTTTTGGCGGTCCTAGCCTGGAGGAGGAGTGCTGGTTTGTTGAAACAGTGGCACGATGTCGCCCAGCACTTTCTTGTGGGGAAGTCTTTGCCTTTCCAACTTGGGCCAGCATGGTTCAGCCGCTCCCTCATGGCAAGCGTGGCGTTAGGCTTCTGCGGTTCTTGCTCGTGAAGTTGGAACGCAACACTGGCTTCGGGGATCTTCCGGGTTCGAGCGGGCTCGGTCTCGGGGCATCGCTGACGTAACATGTGCGAAGTCCGTCTGGCGGGTTCGATTTGGCAGCTTAGCAGGCGCCAATGTTCTTGACGGCTTGACATTCGGCTGGTCATGGACTGCACCGCATGGATGTGGTTCCTGTGGTACCCTCGGTCCCAATGCCTCAAATTCCACAGTCAAGGCTTAACGTGTTGGAGCAAGCTTCGAGACGTCATCTGGGCCTTTCACTTGTCATGCTCGTATCTATGTTCTTTCAACGAGTCACCTTCTCATGCTATTCTCGAGCACGAACATCAGAAGCATGAGTCTGGGCTGTGCCAAGATAGCTTGCGAAAGGGATACAGCAGACTGAACACGCGCTGTAGTGTCTCCTTCAGTTACTCACATGCAACACGCGCGGGTCGTTTCGCAGGAAGCAGGGCATAGTCATTGTGGTGGAGCCGACGATCCCGGTGATGCAGGCAACTCACAGTCTCAGTTTGGCGGCTCCGCCGGCTCCGTGACGTGTCGTTGCAGGATCAGGTGCAGCAATTCAACACAAAGGGCACCTCACAAGAGGCGGCCAAGGCACCGACAAATATTCGGGTCCACACTTTTGTGCTGGATTTGCTTCAGGCTGGCAGTAACGAGACATGTTTTGGGCCAGGCTTGCCTTCTGGGATCTGCACAGACGGACGAAACCGTCATTGAGGCAGCTGTAGCTGGCGACTATTGCCGCTGGGTGGCAACTGGCCCTGTGAGTTTAGCGCTGTCCCAGCGATGCACGGAAATAAATGGAGCTCTGTCGGCTTTCGAGGTGAGCTTGCCATGAAGTTTGTCATTTTGGCCTAGCTTTTGGGATGACCTGCACAGGCCTGGTGTATATGTGCCCAGAGTCGATCACACAGAAGTACCTCGAAGCCTTCGTCCCTTTGTACAAGAGTGGCCGGGTCCGCAAGTAGTATCCTGATACATATCTTGAGTCATGTTCGTTCAAAGAGGAAGACCAGCGCGCAGCTCATGCTTGAGGCTCACGGATCTGTGCCGTGGTGGTAGATGAGGCCTGCTACATGCCACTTTGGGGTCATGCACCTTGGCAAGCGTTGAAGGCCGTTTCATCTGTTCGATGGCTCGCCGTCAAATAACGGCTGTCTATACACATGCATGCACATGTAGGTATGTGTGCGTGCGTGGGAGTGCACACGTGTTGGGGTGCACATGAATCTTAGCTTAGTGGGTTTGCCTTCCCAGCAGAGTTGTGCTGGACGTCGAGTTCAGTTGTCAAATTCCAGGCATTTGAAGTGACGCGCCAGCAGTCAAGGAATTTCGGCCAGCATTTCTCGATCTCGATTGGCTTCGTGAAGCGTCCCTCGGCTTGAAGCTCGCACCTCCGGGCTTTCACTCCAGCGTCAATCGAGCTCAGCCGTGGCTGGATTGGGGCACTCCTGTCACGAATAAGTGCCCAAAACAAGATGTACGCGATCCAAGCCCAGATACCGTGGAGTTCCCTTCATGGCTCTGTCGGGTGCTGCGCCGCCAAGCCGTCGGAAACTTGTCTCTTGTATGGACAAACTTGTAACTTGGAGATTGTTTGCGACACTTTGACCCTGGACACCTGCCTACAAAGACGGCAGCTGAGAACGTCCTGAAATGTCCTGCAGGTCTGGAAGCTCTGGGCTTGAGACGAATTCCCTTTAACCTTGTGCCCTGTCGGAATCTGTAAGGGACTTCATCCGAGAACATCTGCGGCTTCAAGAACCCTACGGCAGCTCGTCCGAAACAAGTGTAAGCTATTGTCTCTGACATCTCTGCATGTCGTCGGACGGCCTCTACACTAACTCCTGCAGGCTCAAACTACGACCACTTCAGTCTTGAGTGAAATTTAGTGCCGAGTGTCTTCCGGCCAGGAAGTGCGATGTGGCTCGGAATGCATATGTGACCTTCTGACTGCAATGTCATCTGCTGAGTTGTTGTAAGAGTTGTCTAGCAGGCAGCTGTGGACGTAGACTTAGAGCTGCGCGTAGCTGACCTGTTTCGCTGTGGGAAGGCCCATGTTCCGGAAGAACCTTCAACTCGAGAGCTGCCAGAGTCTTCCAGAGACCGGCCTGCAACGAGCGGGGTTTCATTTCTTGCTCCGGGGAAGCTGACTGAAATTTCTCGGATCGGGCATGTCCTTGTGGTCAAAGCTATGCGAGGAGTTGGAGAAGTTGAATATGATCCTGGACTCGCTGGTCGTGGATGGTCGCAGTGCAGCTGCTGTGCAGCATCTGTACATCATTTTCTTGCACTTGCGAGTTGACACCCATGGCGGCGGCTGGAAGATATCCGAGGCCGTCGTGTACGTTCGGACGAAGCCAACGGCACGTAGGAGCCTGGATGGTTTTCGAACCAGCATCGTTTCTCGAGCTGCTTCCTTCGGTATAGTCGCTAGTGTGAGCGCTTTGGCTCCGGTTGTGAGGATACGGCGCCGCCTGGAAGAAGAGTCGGAGCAGCGCCCCTTGTCTCAAAGGGTCTCCTCGCCTGGTGGCCCAGCAGCGAAGAGTGAGGTGGCCTTAACCTGGTGGTGGGGCAGATGGACGGCGAGACGCCCCCGGACGAGAGAGCGGAGTTGAATCTGGTGCCACAGGGGGTCAGGGGGTGTACGGATGTGCACGGGAATTCTGATGCTTCGGAACAATTACGAGTGCGAGGACTGGGTGAAATGACTCAGAAAAAACACGCCAGCAGCCTCGCATTGAGTGAAGCCGACGGAATGCGCTGCAGCAAAAATGTGAATCAACTTATCTGAACTGTAAGTAGAGTCGGATGCTTTGAAAAACTATTCCGTTTGCTGCACGGCCGAAAACAAGAGCCCTGCGCCCAATTGGCAGGCGTTTCGCCACAATCGCATCAACATCATGGTGGCCACGGATGCCTACGGTCAGGGTATTGACAAGCCTGACATTGACTTCATCCTCCACTGGGAGCCGCCTGTGAACATCGAGACGCAGCTTGACTTAAGTTCCGTTTGGATGAGCATTTTGCGAGCGCTCCTCAGAATCTAAATCTCCAGCCCATCCAGCGACTCGCAGAGTGGCTGACAACGCACGAAGGTACGTCAATCAGATTGGACGTGCCGGAAGGGATGGCCGCCAGGCAGTTTGCCGACTTTGCTGGAGCCTGGACCTCGTCAATTCGTGTGTTTCGCACGCCACAGTGGAGACTTCTCATGGATATTCGGTCCTCATCGTCGTTTTGAAAATGATTATATCTTCCACTGTACTACCTGCATCGAGGTGGCTTCAACAGCTGGAAGGCCATTCTTGGCGACAAGGGCTACTTTGCGCAGGAGTTTCTCGCCTTTTCAGCGCTGCAAAGGGCAGTGGGACATTGCCCGAAATCCTGGGTTGTGCGCCATGCTAGCCCGGCAGCATGAGGTTTGATGCCGTCACCAAGCTATCTTAGCATTGGACAGGGGTGCGTGGAGTAGTGTTCACGTCCAGCGATGTCCAGCTACAAGCTGAGGTTGAAAGACATGCTTGACAGAGACCGCCGTGCCTCTCGGCTTTATCAAGAAGCCACGCATGTAGGCGACTGGCAAGTTGGAGAGTAAAGGGACAGCAGCATGTTTTGCCCGAAGGTTGAGGTTGACTCGCGGCTAGCGCTGGTTGAAATTGCCAGTGGCCACAGGCTGGGATGGGGCATAACTCATAACATATTTACAGGCAGATAGCTTCACAGAGGTTGGTTGCCCTGGCTATTGCTTGGAGATGGCCGGATATGAGTTTCGTCAAGGTTTTGTTCAAGAGATAGACTCCCCCGTGTTCCGGATTTGTCAGAGCATGCGTACTTTCTGTGCAGCTCTTCCATCGTCCCGAGATGTGGTAGCGGCGACTGCAATGAATGACTTGGCATTTTGTCATTTTGCTACAAACGGAGGAGTACAGGAGCTATCAGCAGCGAATCACAACCTCAGCAACGACGCCTCGCGTCAAGAACACGAGGTGAGAATGCATTCTGCCATTACTTGCTGGATCGATGTAGAAACGCCATAAGACGCCCGCTTAAGATGAACTTGCGCTTCGCAGGTGTCGATGGCATGCTGTTCTCTCGCACTACGCCGCTTGCCTCAAGCACAAGCTCCGGCGCATCCCTGCAGCAGGTGCATAAGGAGACCAAACTGTCCCCACACAGTACCGGTGCCCTCTCCTCTCTAATGTCTTCTTTGTCTGCCATTCCGTATGTAACAGCAAAGCTCTGACAAACCTGCTTGTTTCCCTTTCGTTGTCTAACCGATCTGTCCGACAGCAAATCCGCGCAGCATCTGTTTGGCTCCAGTTTTGGTTGTTTCTTGCGGTCTTCGTCGTTTCTTCTCTTCCAAAACTGTCCATGTTTGGAAGGCACCATTGCTTCTAGTATGGATATTGTGAGTATTTCTAGATTGTCTTGCTATGACATGGTGTCCTCAGATCGTGTCTGATTGACGCCAATATTTTGTTTTTGGCTATCGTCGTTGTTACTGTCATCAACATTACCAATGCTGGAGCTGCCCTTGTTCCATCTTCCGCCGTGTCAGAGGCTTGGAATAAGAAGAAGTGGACTGGACCATAACCATGACCTTTGAGATTTCATTCGGGCAGTAGGTTGGCACGAATGTTTGTGATGAGCAGCTTCCAAGTCCGAGGTTAGCACAGACAGGTCTAGGTACGTGCCATTCCCGACACAGACCTCGATGGCTTTCATTGCAATCATTCCACCATGCAGATGTCAAGGACTGTGTTGAGGAGCTGGGCGAGACAGGCTTCGGGGTTGGGACGAATCCTGAAGTCCAAGTCGGTGATGCAATCGAAAGCCGTCGTGTTCCAGCTTAGTGGTCTGACGATTCAGGGACCTCCTCGATCGTGCTGCTTCAGGCCGCTGCGGTCGCTGCGATGTGTGCACTGGCAAACTGCAAAATCGGAGGATCCTCACAGAGGACAGCGACTTGGGTCGAACTGGTGGCAGACAGGCAACTTTGGGCCGTAGTGAAGGCACTTGCTGTTGCTGAATGTGAGTGCAGCTGTTGAGGCGAGGCGAAACTGGCGCTCCTAGTGCTTCATGCCGCAGACTTCGCAAAGAGCCACGGTCGCCAGACCGCATTGGAGCTACCTGCGATTGCCTGTCGCTGTCCGTACACAGTGTTAGCTGTGAGCGAAGCTTGAGCTTCCCTTGAACAGGCCAGGCCTTCAAGACTGCAGCATCTTGGCAAGATTTGCCAGTGCAGCCTTTGCAGAGTAGGGGTTACAAGTAATCCAAACCGTTTTGCTTCTTTTATGGATAGCAGCGTGTTCCGAGCATCGCGAGGTGGTCGATATCGCTCGCTGGGGCAGCGAGAAATTCAAGCACCTGAACTCTAAAGCCATGCTGGACAACATGGAAAGTCTGAGGCCGAGGGTCGGCCTTGTCCAATAATTGGTTCGGTAAAGTCAGAGATGCTGACAGTCTCCGTCGTGCTTCTTCTGTGCAGGCAAGCCCTGCCAGACCTGACGAAAAGACCCTTGAATGCAGTCAAAGCTCATATTCTCTCTATGCCTGCTTTCGAGCATGCCGGTGCTTCAGCAGCACATGCGACGGCGTGAACTCTGAGCTGGCAGGAGCCGTCGAGCAGATGGTTGAGCGCTTACAAGAAAGCGGATACTTCCTCCCATGCTACAGGGGCATGGACCAGAAGAACCACTTGACCTGGGGCATTGAACTAAGCCGAGCAGGCGTGGAGCTTAGGGACAGCCCGGTGACCAGCCTGTAGGACAGCTTGTTTCAGGCAGTTCAGTTTGCAGGCTGCACATCACTCAAATCTAAGATGCTGCGCCGGATTCACTGTGGAAATCTGACCGAAAGCCAGCAGCACAAACCGCCAGGCTTGGAAGCAATACAGCAGCACCACCAGATCCAGCTGGTGCCCGAAAGCGTATGCAGCTTGGAAAAATGAAGCTCCTGGTCACGGCCGGTTTTGGATGGGCGGATATTCCGGGATTTGTTGAAAAGGATCATGGCGAGGAGAGGGTGCTTTCGCCAGCCGATTGTTCTGGGCTTCGTCGTGTGCTCTTCGATCTTGCGCGCTGGATTGCTGACAGCCCGAGGCGAGCGTCAGAGAAGAAGGACAATGTCTGGACATCGAAGCAAAAGGAAAGAAATCGATGCTGCCTTCAAAGAATATGCCGCTGCGATGGACGACCCGGAGGCCGCTAAAGCGAGAGAGCTTCCACTGGGTGAGTCTGCGCTGGCTGTTCCGACTTTCAGGCGGCCGAGAATGCCCTGCGTCACTTGGAGAAAGTTGTCCGACGGAAGCCATCCAGCACCCCCGCATCGACTGAGCGCATGGATGCTCCGTGTCTGCGGATCTCTAATCTAGTGATCTGTTGTGCTCTCCAGAAGTCTCAGCATGAGACGTGTTGGTACGCTCCCTGAGGCTACTGGCAGACTGGAGCAGGAGATGAGGAAGAGGTTCCCCGACCTGCAGATACGCCATGAGACGCTAAGTTCCGGCGAGCATCAGTGCATCCTCGATCTGCCTGGTGAAGAGCGAAAATTCTGCGGCAAACCATCAAAGCTGCTTGGTTGCACGTCCGCCGGGTTCTGCCAATATCTGCAACGTAAACAGCTTCAGCCTGCCAACGAGTCTTGTGTTTTACCGATTTGCAGAAGGGCTCAGGGTTTTTTCCTCATCCCGTGATTGCTCAACACCGACACTGTAGAACAAGCTTGTAGCAGCTTGCATGATTGGCTTTCAGGCGAGCATGCATTCTACTACGGTGGCACGCATGGGTTTTGCACGTTATGCATTGCCCTCACAGCTCTGCCCCCCTTCGTTTGACTGCTGCCTCTGTCGAACCACACATGACGAACACGAAGGCGAGGACGCCAATATTGTTCAGTTCAAAACCACGATTATGAACTACATAACTACACCAGTCTTGCCGAAGCATTTGCCATCAAGCTTGAAGTGCTGAGGTCCCAGAAGATCTCCTTGAAGCATGCGTTGGAAATTGCCCGTAAGGAGATGAACATCCAGGTTGACCTGAGGCCAGATCACAGAATATTGCACGTGTCACGAGCTTCGCGGCTTTGGCATCTTTTCGAGTCCGGTGTGCAAGGGAGAAGCCGTGGATCCTGAAATCCATGGGCAATCAGTGGGCGCGTGAGCACGTACGATGCAATCTGAAGCTGGGCGAGGAGGCATTGGAGTTGCCTGCAAGACTGTGAGTCGAGTTGGTCGTCAGTACCGTCTCCAAGAGTAGGCTATGTGCTGCTTGAGCTTGATTTTGAAAGGCGATGTATCAAGCGGAGATTTCTGTGGCGCCGCTGGGAAAGACCTTTGCCAGTAAAAAGGCATGTAAGTCTTGGGCACAGGCTGTAGTGAGTGCGATCTCCGCCGTTCCTGGCCACCACCTGTGGCAGCACTCCCCCTCTAGCTGTCCGTCAACTACTGCAGCCCGATCGCAGGGCGCTTGTTAAAGCGCTGTTTCATGTCTCACGCGCCATCATCTGCAAAACCATCATGTGTAACTACGAGCAGGCAGTATTGGCATTGCATTGCCTGTGAGCATGGTCTGAGTTTATGAACAGAGTTCAAGTCTTTTTGACGGCGCCGAGATGTAGGTCTGCCCGTTGCAGACTAGGAAGGAATGGCCGCCACTGTGCTCGTTTAGCTTCCATACTTCATCGTTTTTTTGGAAGTCTTGGTCGGAGATCTTTGTGTCATGCACAGCTGACGAATGTACTGTATGATACAGTTACTCCTGACTCATCAGCAGAGCAGCGGCCACTCCGAGGATCTCATTGTTTTAAACTGTCAAGAAATGCTTAAGTGCCTCCCAGAGTTGTTCTCAAGTCAGGCTTGGAACCTGCTGTCCCCTTTTGCCGTCCTTTCGTAGCTGCATACAGCGTGCCCACGCCTTCGAACTTTTGCGAGGAACCTCGTTTGTTTCAACATGGCCGAATGCAACAATCAGATGCCGCAGGTTTCGTCTGGACAGCTATGTAAACCTGCTACATTGGTTGCTGATCTTTAGGTCAACTTTAGGTAATGAGAACCTCCAAGTAGGCACATTGTGCATGTATGCATGCAGGGTAGGTCCAGGTAGGTAAGCAGGTAGGTAGCTCGGTACATCTATGTAGAATATTCACGGCGAAAACGGAGGTGTCCGAGCCATATAGGCTGTAGACGAAGCAAGACTTGAGAACTCGAGGGGCATGCCCAGACCAGATGCCTGCAGTCTTGGCTAATGAACATTCATGAACGATGCATCGAAAGGGATCCGAGAGAGAAAACATGGGCGCCGTGGAGGTAAGACGTTGGGAGGTTTGCTTCCAAGCACTTCAACCCCATGCAAGCTGCAGAACCTGCAAGCTCGTCTGGCGGCAGTGAGCTATCCTGAGCTAGACCAGGCCAGTTTATCTGGCACCGGCTGGTGCCCAAGATGTGAAGGTGAGTCTCATAGTCAGACGCACGGCTTCTCGTCGGCACGTCAATGCTTCTTTCCGAAGGCCCGGGCCCACAGCCCTGTCACTGTGCATTCGAGATCACCCAGTCCACCCGCGACGGAACAGGCAGGGACTGCTTTTCGGATTCAGTCGGGTGGTATTCCCGCTGCTAAAAGTTCCTCACGACATGCGATTCGGGGCTAATTTGCTTAAGCTGCTTCCGTGGCAATTGGGGCCTCCTCAGAGAAGCCGTGTCCTCGAGGACCCGCAAACAGCACGAGGCAACAGTTGTGCGAGGAATTCGGGTTACCGCTTGGTGCAGGTCTCGATGGCGATAAACTGGACACACATTGGACGCGAGGCGAGTCTTACAAGTTCGCTGTGCTTTGGTGCATTAAGTCGACGGCCCGGACAGCAGTTTGACGTGTAATGCAAGTCTTGAACCGGTTTGCGTTTCGAGTTTGCTATGTCTTGGACCTCACTCTCTGAAGTTTCAGGTACAACAGCTACCTCCGGACGCTAACCGTTAAGTCAACCCTGGTGACACCTTTCTGGTCACGGGGACTTGAGCCCACATAGGTCGCGTAAAGGTAATGCTAAAGGGCAACAAAAGTACAGTAGGAGGCCGGCTAGGACCTGCACTGTCGCTCTGCATGTGGCATGTGTCCTAGTCCTAGCACAAGTTGCAGCGGGTCATGTTGTTTTGCGCGTTTAGGCTTTGCGGTGGGGGGCTGCCAGCGTATTGCGGGGACTGTGTCCAACGAACATGGGCTGGCTTGGTTGGATATTTTCCCAGCTCAGCCTCAGTGGCTCGGTGGTCTAGGAAGGAAGCATGCATGTGCTTCACTTTCTCAACTTGCGCGAGTGTGCGCTGGAGGCATCCCAGTTTGCGCCGCTTCCAGAGTCTCCCGCCAGGGTCTGAGGAGCCTCTGGGCTCAAGGCATCACTCCAAGGCTGTCCAAGGCCTCGAGCAATCGAAACGTTTCGCCCGCACTGTAACAGTAACGGCACACAGGCGCTGCCAACGAGCCCGGCGGCTGTCGCCGTCAAGGCGCAGACCCGCGAAAGCGTTTCAGACTCTTTCCTCGATGTGCTCCCAATATCTCCCAACCTGGCAGGCCGGCACCGCGCTTCGCAGACCTTCAGACTTTGCTCTGAGCCCCCGCGCCGCACCCCTGATGGCACCGCTCCAACAACTCTTGGGAGCACTTTTCATGAGTGCAGGCCTTGTCTCCCAGAGGGCTGGACACGTCACCAGCCCGGGCCACTGTTCTTGACAGTTTTAAGACAGCATCTATAAGTTCCCATAAGCTTTCTTCCTTTCCTTCAGGATCTTCAGAACTGCTGGACAGCGACACCGGAGTGCGCAGTCAAGTCGGGCAATTGCACTGAGGGCTTCAGCAGTCGGCCCTCCGACCTGTCACCGGTGCAGCCCTCGGAGATGCAGGCATTTCTACACGATGGCATCGTATTCTGACTCGTTGTCAGCAGCCTTGGCTATCAAGCATCCTTTGCAGAGTGCGTGAAGGGGGTGATACCAAAAGGGAGTGAAATATTTTTCGAGTGGTTTAGCCGTTCTTTCTTGTGAGAGTTTTCAGGAATCACGTGTTGGGCTCTGTTCTTATCATCCAAGCCAAGCACGCCCCTGCAGGTCGTAGGTGCGTTCGTGAGGAGAAAGTCAAGGGCTCCAAAGTTCGAGCGACAGGAAAGCTCAGGCCTTCTTCGGGCGCTTTGCGGCATGTATCGGAAACAAGCCACACGACGAGAACCATCGAAAAGGATGGTAATCTCAGAATCTCAGAAGGTCCGTGACATTGGAAGCCTGCAGCAACACTGTCGCTGCAGGGGACGGGCGCTGACTCGGTGTTGACCTCGGAGCACCGATGTTTGCCGAGAGTTGCAGTGTCCCACAGGGCTGTACCTGCGTGCAACGGCTTGCCGCGGCCGACATACCACGTGGCACAAGGACATCTGCAGCAACAGTGACGTCTCGCGGCCGGAAGCTCAGATGTGCCAGAAGCAGGTGGCAGCGGGTGGCCAGAGGGTTCTTCCGCACTGCACGACCGCACAGCTGAGGGATATACTCGGAAGCCCTGTCTCCGGAGGCTTAGTCGCCGGGGGCCCAAGGCACCACCAAGCACCACAGCAGTGCAGCTGCATGTTCAGTGACGATTGGTATGGCTTTGTGTTTCACTTTCTCCGGTGGCTTCCTCCGGCTTGTCCGAGGACGACCCCTGGCTTGGCCTGGCGGTGCGGTCACCGCTCAGGTCGCCGGTGATTGCGAGTATACATGGAAAAAAAACTCTTCTGGACTGCACTGGTTCTGGAGGAGCCCCGGCCGAGAGTTTCGGGATGTTGCGCGACCGCCTGGGTCTTATGGTAAAGACGATCGGAAAGCGCAGAAGGATTCCCGCATGTCAAGGACGCATTCTGGACCACTTCGCAGACCGGCGACGTGGAAGAATTAGCTGCGAGACAAACTCTTGATTCCATGTGCAGGGCTGACGTGATTCTCTCACAAGAGTCCTTGTGATTTTTCCAATCCGGTTTAGAGAGTTGTGGACAATCTCGGGGTGACTGCGATCTTGGCTCCTTCTCCGGGTCTTGTCCTTTCTGGACAGTTTTCTTGCCTTCTTAATCCTCTTGATCCTCGCTCCGAGCCTGGCGGATTCCGCCTTTCCAAGTCTCGCTTGCCGCTTCGGGTGCGGTCAGGTTCCGACAATCAGCAGCCCCGAGTGGGCGGAGCAGGCACGGTTCTCGACGCCTTTGGTAGAGTTGCGCATGACGAATGCTGTGCACAGCTCAGGATGTCCCCCAAATTGCGAGAAGGATTGTCACTTGCAGACTGCCTTTCCAGGCTGAGGGAGGCAAGCCTGTCCTGCCAGCTCCGCAGCTGCCAGCGTTGGAGGAGACTCGCCAGCTCCGCCGAGGGGAAGAAGAATCCTCGTAAGGTGCTTTGAGAGGTCTTGGCGGCTTTTCAGCATGTTTCAAAAGAAGCATCAGAGTAGCGCAACCTCACCCTGATGAAAAGCTTTACGGGGGCCTCGTGTTCCTCAACCCTCCAGCGCTGCCTTCATAAGCTGTCCAATGACTGCACTTCCGAAGGGCTTGCGTGGTATCCGAAGGATTCTGAGGGCATGCCCTGTGGGCAGTTTTAGTTTTGAGAGGACAGAGTAGTACCTCTCGCGTCTTGGCATCTGGCCGAGTGCTCTTGTGCAGTGCACTTCTGTCGCACCACGCAGATTTCCTTCAGCCCGCAGCGTCTGAAGCTCTCGCAGCCAGGAGCTTTTTGCCCAGAATATGCGGGAAGCGGGCTGAGCAACTGTCCTCTGTCAATGTGCACAGAGCGACGACGGCAGAGCCGGGGCATTTGTTTCTGCAAGCGAAGGCCTCTCGTGAATCTTGTTTCTTCTTGCTTCTTGCTTGTGTAGAGTCCTGTGGTAGAGTCTCCCGGCTTAGGAGCAGCGAAGGGAGGAGCGCAAGCTCCGTCATCAGCGACGAGAGCCGCGGCAGCAGATGCAGAGGCCAGGCAGCCGCGTGGCAGCGCATGGCAGCGGGTAGCCTGGAAAATGTGTGTTGTGAGGATCGAGTTGTCGAGCCTAGAGATACCTAGAGTCGAAAGTGGAAAGTGCGGGAGCTCGAGAACAGGACCATCAACCCATCCTTCGAGGAGGTCCCCAACGGACTCTGTGGAGTCTTGGCGCAGATTTGGTGTGCAGCAAGCGGCTGACCGGGCGACTCGTCGACCTGACGCTAACACGAGTTTGCAGCGAGGCTTCGGCCCGAGCCCTGACGATGACGACTACTTCTACGGCAAGCACGTGAGTCTGTGAGTCGTGGAGCTGTGCATCCATAGTTCTCGAAGGTTGCAACCTTGTAACTACATGTAACTACATGAACAACGCATGCTTCGAACCTGCTTCGTGAACGAGCGTGTTAATGCCTGGTGCAGCTCTTCGGACATGAAGGCGCATAATAAGAGTACCAATTAATCGCAAGACATCACTGCCATCGTCCGTGAGAAGCTCTCTTTAAGACCTGAGCATTTTTGAAGTTGTGGTGAGGCGTTGAAAGAATGCAGCTCCATTCAAGAAAGGTTGCAGTCGAAGGAAGAGCTGTTCGCAGATCCAAGAGCGGCCCGTGCAACATGCGGCCGCTGGAACATCTCGTGGGCCCTGAAGCTATGCAGTCAATCCGTCGGGGAGCGTCAATGAGCTATCTTTGTTGAGTCGTTAAAGGCTGGCAAAGGCTGCTTCGTAGGACTGGCAAGGCGGGAGGGATTCTGCGTTCCATCGGTTGAGCATGCTGACTCCTAGGAGGCCGCGTAGTCAATGACTCCCCCAAAGACAGCTGAGCGGGAAAACCACTGACGAAACAACAAGCTTGTCCTTTCTCCCTTTCACGTGAGGGGGCCAGTGGCTCTGGGTACTGTTTGCACCTGCCCGCCTCCCATGCTCGACCCGAATTTGTTGCCGTTGGCTCTGAGCTTGCGCCCACCTTCCGTTGGGACGCCTCTGCCATGAGTGGCTTGGCGGAAATTGGCCGATTCGCTCAGCCAGCACGCGAGGAGCAGCTTGCAACACGACAGCCTGCTATTGAAGTCTGATCATGAAGCTCTTTCGATGTAGGTTGTGTCGGTTGCGTCACAAAAAGACCTCAGTGCCAAGTTGCCTATCTGCTGAGTTGCACCAGCATTGTCCCCAGCTTGTTGGTGCCGTAAGTGCAGCGAGGTTCCACCGTTATGGCCGCCCACTCAGCATGGAATAGTTCCAGTCACTGGGCTCCGGTCAGATTTGCCTGCGCCCCATTGCTCGGATCAGACGCGATCGCAGGATGGCCCGGAGTGGCCCTTGGATCACTTCCGACAGGCTGGGAGTGCTGCCGTCGCGAACCGCATCGTGGGGCAAAATGCCTTGCTCTCTTTCAGGCATATGAGAAAGCGCTTAGCGAGCGAAGTGGCCGAAACATGGCAGTGGCCTTTCTGGCATGATTACTTTGCCGAGATCTGCACCACCTGCCCTCTACACCGCAAATCGCGGACGACCGGCTACCGCCATTTTTGCGTAGGGCATATGTGCTTCAACACGAACTTGGCTCGATGCTGAAGCCTTTCTTGGTATGACGAGGGAGAAACGGGAAGTTCTAAGGGTCAACATCATCAAAGCTGATGACTGATGGGTGTGAGTCCCCTGTCGTCGGCCAGCTCGTCTTCCCTGGCGACTTCAGCCCGGTGCACGTGGGACATCTTTTGATGGTGCAGCAGGCCTTACCAGCACATGTTTACCTGCTCAGCCAGCTATTGCGTCAGCATGCGTCATGCCAGCCAGCTTCTAATCGACGATCGCATGCAGGCCTCAAGTCTATGTCGTTAGGCAAGATTTTCGATCGACTGATGCACTGAGTCAAGTCGTAACACCTGCCATCTATCTGTCCCTCTCGCTCGCTCGCTCTCTCACTCTCTTTCCCTCTGTCCGACTTCATCCCCTATAGTTTTCTCAGGCACGGACCGGCTGTGTCCTGTCCGTTCTGTGAGTCTACGCTGACATCGCTCATTCCGTGACTCCGTGACATGAGCTGCTGGCATCTGGTGGCTATCTTGGGCTCAAAGGAAGGACACCCTCTGCTTTGGAGTAAAGTTGTTGCCTGGCGGAAACATACGCTGGCTCGTGTGTCTTGTTCCACTTTGTTCCAGACGCACATCGAAGGTTGCACGTTCCAAGGTTGTTTGGTGCGGCGCCTTTTGGCCACCGAGCAACCTCGCCGGCGGTGCACAGGCACAACCTGTTTGCAATCGCTCTGTCGCTAAGCCCTGCTCTATTGCGAATTGCTTTAGCCTCGACATTCTCTTCCCAGAAAGCTGGAAACGACTTTCCTCTTCAGGACATCGAGGCGGGAGAAAAGATGATCCGAACGGGGTGGTCACGGCTTACAACCGGATGGGGCACAACCACTTCTGCAGCATCTTGGCAAGCAAAGACTGGGCCCAATCTGGGGTTACATAGACGGCTCAAAAACCGGCAAACGGCGCAGACTGTCTAAGAGAGCCGTGACAAAAGCCGAGGAGAGCGCAGCCATAGAACAGCTCATCAGTACCCATCGGGCGCTTCTCCTAGACGGAGGCGACGGCGACACTGTCGTGTTTGCTTGAATTTGCATCCAAGCAATCCGGTAGACTCAGACGTTCCACAACGTTCTGCATATTCGTCCAGCATCGGTTTGTGCATCCCCTCACGTGCGTGCCGCAGGACGTGCCGAGGTGGGTAGCGAAGCTGGCTACAGCACCTTTCCCGCAACTAGCCAATTCTGCGCGCTCCGACCGCCTAAAACCGGCAACTTACCCGGAGATCTCTTGCAGAGCTTAGTGCGAAACATGAAGCTGGTAGCATGTGATCGGATGGAGAAGCCGAGTCTCGTGAGCTAAGGTGCCTGCGCCATCTTTCTAAGTGCGGTAGAGACTACGGCCAAGACGTTTGGACTTGAGGCGGCCTGCCCTGACTCTGCGATTACATGCTCATGCCTGACCAGATCTTTTGTCGCAAGAAAGCCTCGGTTTTGGCAGACTGATCAGAAGTTGAGTCCGAGTCGAGGCTGCTCCGCGTGCCTACCGCAAAAGGTTCTCGGCGAACTACCGTGCCCTGGTTTTGAGTGCTGGGTATATGGGATGCTGGGCTATCTCGGGCTCTGTGTTTCCTGGCCTTGGCCATGGGCTTTCTCCTTTCCGCCATATCACATATCGTCACCTGAAATGCGACTCTGAGTGTGGATGCTTCGTTGTACAGACGTTGTACATGTGGAGCGATTTCTTTCGGAGTTCTTTGAATTGACTTCAGGTGCACTCTTCCCAGACGACGCACGGCATTACCGAGTGGACGTACTTGAGGCTCCAAAAATGCGATTTTTGACAACACATCCTGCTACACGCTACACGTTGTAGAATTCAGATCATGCCTTGACACTTGATACGAGATGCTTCGGCCTCGAAAGGCTAGTGCAGACCAGCATTCTGCCATTTGGGTCAACGGGGACAAGTTCGAACTGAGCCCAGAGGCAGAAGAGACTATCAGAGCACTAGGGTTCACTGGCGCTGCAGCTTGCTGAGCATAGGCGATTTGCCACGCCGAAGCTTTGCAAAAGGCGCGGGGCCTGAAGAAGACCGGGAAAACAAAAAGTGATGGACACCGCGGGGCTTGTGAGGGTGCCTTGCGCAGGCTTGGGCAGAGTTGTCCCAACTCGTCGAGTCCTGCGCCGGTCCCGACGGAAACACTGCCAGACATCCGGTGCCCTTGCGACAAATTCCGGATCTGGAGTTGAACTTCGGACATGAGACTTCATGAAGCCTTTCTCTGCCAAGGCGCGATCCGATCTTTGTACAGTCCTGGATGCTCTGGATGCGGCCTGGGCAGGCTTCGAACACAAGTGCCTAAGCAGCGTGTAGAAAGCGAGTGAGGCATCTTGAGAGATTCATGCTGAACCCATTGGACATTGAAGTTTTTGCCTTCTCATGTCTGCACCTGTGGTGAAGAGAGTGCAGCTGCGGGCTGCTGTAGCCCAGGTATATTGCTGAGTTGATTGACATCGAAGAGCAGGCTCGAAGGCTCATCATCAAGGCGAGGTGCTTTCGGAGAGTCCTTGAGCTCTCGGATGCTGCACTGAGCTGGGCTTTGGGGACAAGGCTGTGGATCTGGAGGCCCGCCTATCCATGCTGGAGGACTGCAGGGACCGTTGAGCAACGCATGATTCGTGGAATCAGGAGAGGTGCTGTCGATGCAATACTTCGCAAGTCTTCGCACATAAAGGAAGTATCATGGATACTTGCACGGTGCCCATGGTTCGCCTCCGAATGCCTGCATCAAGGAAAACGCGGGCAAAGGCAAAGAAAGTCAGGATGTGCAGAGAGCGCTAGTGCCACTTGGATTTTGACAGAAGGAGTTGCAGGTCCCATGTTTGCGGCTTTGGCGGAGATGCTGCATTGTTCTTGGTCGTTCGCAAAGTGTGCTTCGCTGGTCCAGGTGCCCGAGCAAGCTACAGCTTATCATTTCAGTCCCTAGAACTCCGTTGCACCAGTAAAGGGCTGAAGCGATGAGACAAATGAGCCGCTTTCCGCTCCAAGGCAAGGGATTGCGCATCTCAACTCCGTTGCCAATTTCCGGCGCAAGGGTCGTGATGACTTGGGTGCCTTGACAATGATGAAGTGGAGCATTGATGAGCGAAGCTCAAAGTTCCAGTTCGATGCCTTGGCCCTGCAGGCTATGACATTTTGGAGTCTGCCGAGCACCGAGCTTTCGGCCGGCGTTAGGCCCTGCAGCCTTCAAGCCTCGGTGCCCGTTGCGTTCCCTTTCGTTTGGTGTAGCAGCCGCATGCAGCCGCTGTCCTGCCTTAGGCAGCCGCAGTCCTCAGCAGATTCAGTCTCACCAGCACCTTGGATGCACCGAGATCGGGATCTTGGGATCTTCATCTTGAAGGAAGAGAATGTATTCCCCGAAAAAACCATGTCATTGCTGAAGATTGAGGTAAAGATATCGTGGCAGCTGGCGAGGGCAAGGGCTTCGCAGCAGCTGCCATCCAAGATGCAGTGTCAAGAAGTGCCGGCGTGTCCATGGCAGTGGCGCCTTGCCTGAGATGCTGCATCTGCATTTTCGGTCAGAGAGCAACAGAGAGCACGCGGGCCGACGAGCACCAGGATGTGGTTGGCTCCTTTGAAGCGATGCGCCGGCCGGGGCTTTTCCAAAACGAGAGATGCAATGCTCTTTTTTGCGCTGCTCGCGGGGCTTGCGGGCATGGGAGGTATCTGCGAGAGGTGAAGAAGTGCCTCGAGCGAGTCGACCCGCCGGAGCCTCGGAGCGGAGCGTCTGCGGCCTCCCGTCCTCGGGTTTAGGCGCTTCGCTTGTGCGGGTTCAGAGGGGTTCTCAGCACTACCTCCTGCAGTCTTCCCACCAGAATTCAGAAGATAAAGGCGGCAAAAGGGAAAGCTAGTGTTTGTGGCACAGCAGTCGAGACCTTCACCGCCTGAGGCATCTTTGCAACAATGTGGGGCTCGTCGCAAGGCCTTTCGCTTAGTTCAGTGGCTGCAGCACACATCGTTAACGTGTTCGGAGGATGTGCAATAAGCCACTGAGGCTCGTGGACTGGGAGGACCGTCACTTGGGGCAGCAGTTCAGACACGTTCCATGATTCACGGAGTGACAAGTGCGGGAGAGCCAGGAGAGCTGGGAGATCGGTTCTCGGTACGTCCGGCAAACGGTGCTGTTTGACGCGAACAACGACGTCGCTGCTCGGTCGCTGTGGAAATACCGGGTGCCCGCGTTGCGGTGGCACCACGCCTGCTACTTCTACTCCTCCTATTCTGAAGAAACCCGTGCAACCTTGCAGG